CTTTCTTTCTTTCTTTCTTTCTTTCTTTCTTTCTTTCTTTCTTTCTTTCTGTCTGTCTGTCTGTCTGTCTGTCTTTCTGCCTGTCTGTATGTCTGTCTGTCTCTGTCTGTCTGTCTGCCTGCCTGTCTGCCTGTCTGTCTGTCTGTCTGTCTGTATTTTTGTCTGTCTGTCTGTCTGTCTGTCTGTCTATCTCTCTGTCTATCTCTCTGTCTGTCTGTCTGTCTGTCTGCGTGTCTGTCTGTCTGCCTGTCTGTCTGTCTATCTGTCTGTCTGTCTGTCTGTCTGTCTATCTCTCTGTCTATCTCTCTGTCTGTCTGTCTGTCTGTCTGTCTGTCTGCCTGTCTGTCTGTCTATCTGTCTGTCTGTCTGTCTGTCTGTCTATCTACCTGTCTTGTCTGTCTGTCTATCTACCTGTCTTGTCTGTCTGTCTGCCTGTCTGCCTGCGTGTCTGTCTGTCTATCTACTGCTCTTGAGGAATGGGCCAAAATACCAGCAACCGTGTGTGAAAACCTTGTGAAGACTTACAGAAAATGTTTGACCTCTGTCATTGCCAACAAAGTGTATATAACAAAGTATTGAGATGAAATTTTGTTATTGACCAAATACTTATTTTCCACCTTAATTTGCAAATAAATTCTTTAAAAATCCTACAATGTGATTTTCTGGATTTTTTTTCTCATTTTGTCTCTCATAGTTGAGGTATACCTATGATGAAAATTACAGGCCTCTCTCATCTTTTTAAGTGGGAGAACTTGCACAATTGGTGGCTGACTAAATACTTTTTTTCCCCACTGTATCTATAAAACCAATAAAATGGTGAAATTACTAAAGCTAACTCAAAAATGTATCTCATTTATATTAAAATAATTATATTAATAATCCCATTATATAATAATAATGATAATACTGTCATATGACTTGTCAAATATTGATGATGATTTTTCTGGAGATATAATGCAATGATTGTGATGTTTCATGCACCCTTCATTTGGCCATTAAGTTTCCAAAAGACAGTCTTAAATTTCTCATTTTTATTTAGTTTAACTTGATGTACTAAAATAAGTAAAACTTAAATAAAATTTTGCAAAAATTATCTCTATTTAAAGACTATAATAGTACCTCAGTGATGCTAAAATAGCACTGGCAGTAAGTAGGGGAGAGCGGGGCACAACCTAACACTTTGATTTCTCAGGTTGTGTAAATCCACATGGGGTTCAGAGTATAATTTATTATCCACATTAATTTTACACTTGTCTTGTACTAATATGTCATTTTGTTTCATAATTACAGTGTTTACGTTTTTCTTTATTTACCCCTAAATAATGGAAGTGAAATGTGACAACATGCCCCGTAGGTGGGGCACATTGTAACATCTGAGGGGCATGTTGTAACATGACCAAAAGACAGCTTAAAATGTTATCTGATCTAATGACAAAATAATTTAAGAAGAATTTAAAACCGGTTAGTGTCTTCTGCTAGTTAGCAAAGCATTAAAGAACTATCTAACCTGATAAATAACAGATTGGAGATTAAAATAATAGCAGATTTCTCTCATTTTAATTGAATACTAAAAACTGAGATGAAAAATTTGCTTTAGTCAGAAATGTACTTTTGCTATGGTAAAATAAATGTTCAGCGATATCTTCAAAATATTTTTTAAATTTTGGCACACTTTTTTCTTTATATAGTGTTGATGTGGCAACTAGTAAATTGTGTGGAAATATGCATGTGTGGAAATATTTAAACCATGTATGTTACGACTAACCCCTCGTTAGTTTGTGCCCTGCACACCCCTAATGCGATGTGCTTGGTTAACTTCATGCTGACGCTGAGTGACTGTGATCCCGGCTGCTTTCTGTCTCTTTCATCTCTCCTGCAAGAGCAGATTTTGGCCAAAAGCAGCACGTTTATCAGCAGATCTCTGCTCCTGAACTGTTGAGGATTATTAATATCCTCTTGGCAGGAGCTGCTGGCGGGACTCAACTCTGTACAGTAGTAGAACAAGCTGCTGAAAACCGGCCCAAAGGCCTCCGAAAAACCCAAGAACTGATTCGGAGTCCGATTTCATATTCATGTGCAACAATACTAGGCAAACGTAAACAACCAAAGTTATGCAGCATATTGTTACTTAGCAGAAGAATAGTTTGTCCTGATTATTAACGTTAATAAATGGAACTGCTTATTTGCAGGTGATTTTACTTTATGCACCGAATCTAATATTGTGGTGACGAGTAAAAAATGGCTAAAAACTTCTCGGGTTACTTATGTAACCATGGTTCCCTGAGGGGAACGAGACACTGCGTCCTCTAGGGGTCGCTATGGGGAACGCCTCGTCGTGACCCGTGTCTGAAGCCTACATTGAAAAAACACCAACTTGTTTGGCCGGCGACAGCCATGACGTCACTACCGTCGCGACTAGTACAAAATAGATGCCGGTAGCGCACATCATCACTTCTTCGTCTGAAGCTTGTGTCCGCAGCATGGCACAAAAAGCTAGAGGACGCAGTGTCTCGTGTCCCTCTCCACTCGAGAAGAGAGACAAACGAGAACGGAGCTTTTTCAGCGAAAAGCTCTCGCAATGCACGCAGATTGCCTCCTCGAAGACATCGCGTGCGTGCTCCTCGCCCAAACAAACAACGCATAGATCGTGTGAATCATCGGGTGTCAGGAACCGCTGGCACGGATGTACACACTTTCTAAACGCTCCGCTAGTGCTCGCCATAGTAGGAAAAGAAATAGTCTTACTTTGCTTTTGGAATGCACGCTTCAAACAGAACGGTCAGTGAAGACGAAGAAAGTGATGATGTGCGCTACCGGCGCCTATTTTGTACTAGTTGCGACAGTAGTGACGTCATGGCTGTCGCCGGCCAAACAAGTTGGTGTTTTTTCAATGTAGGCTTCAGACATGGGTCACGACGAGGCGTTCCCCATAGCGACCCCTAGAGGACGCAGTTCGAAGTTCCACGAAAGGGAACTACAAAAGCTGTTTTATAAAAAAACACATCTTTTTAAGATCTTTTACGTTTTTATTTTTTTTATTTATTTATTGTGTAGTATTTGTATTTCTTGCATGTAGGGCTGGGTATCGAGTTCGATACTTTTTAGGCACCGACCGAACTGCCTCGATACCATCGAGTATCGAAAAACGTCTCGTCGTTCGGTACCAAATTTCGTTACCTAAGGGGTTAATCTCATCAGCGTCAGTGAGCCAATAAGCCTGCAGCACTAGCCGGTGTGTTCGACTAGAAGAGGTGCGGCGCAGTTCGATCATCCGCGAGAGCAATTCGAAAGCGCACGGAGCAGTCTGCTCTCTTTAGCTCTCGTGGTACTGTAATACCACCAGTATAGAGTAGTGCGGGAGCTGTGTGGAGTTCCCATCATATGCAGATGTCCGTTCAGAGAAATAATGCACTCCCGGAGGTGGTTATGTGGCCACGACTATATGGTATGGTCTTTCTCAGTTCTCAAACAAATTAAGAACTATTCGATTTTTATTGACTGAACACAAGCGCTTATTCCGATAGAAAACACTGTATCGGTTTCCACTGATTAAGAAATATTTTTGTT